TTTTTAAAAAATAAAGGAAGTGAAATCAGTATGTTGAAGAGGTATCCATCTGTACTCCCATGTTTACTGCAGCACTGTTCATAATAGCCAAGATATAGAATCAACCTAAGTGTCTATCACCAAATGAATGGATTAAAACACATGGTACATATACACAATGGAATAATATTCAGCCATAAAAAAGAATGGCACTAGGTCATTTGTGACAACATGGATGAATATGGAGGGCATTATGCTAAATGAAATAAGCTGAGCATAGAATGACAAATACCACATGATCTCACTCTTGGGAATCTAACGCATTTGATCTCTTAGAATTAGAACAGAATAGTGGCTACCAGAAACTGAGGGAGGGTAGTAGGGAGGGGGAATGATTTCTGGTGTTTCATTGTACAGTAAAGTGAATAGTTAACAACAATTTATTGTAAAAAATGTATTATATAGCTCAAAATAGCTAGAAGACAGAATATTGAATGCTCTCAACACAGGGAAATGAAAATTGTTGTGATGGATATCTTAATTAACTGATTTGATCATTATACAATGTATACATGTATTGAAACATCACACTGTACCCCATAAATATGTACAATCATTATATGTTAATGAAAAACAGAATATGACTTTGAAAAAGAATTCAGTAGAACATCAAAAAATAACTTGCAAATAATAATGTACCTTGTCCAAGTTCAAACACATGGACAAATATAAGAAGATGCAGTATTAAGAAATCTCATCACAACAATAAGAGAAAGAATTTTCCTTAAGCTATTATACTGTTATCTTGATGGGTGCTATAAAAGCATTTTATAGAAATTCAACACTTATATTTGACTTTTGAAATGTAGGAACAGAGGATATGTTATTTATATGGTAATGATTGTGAACCCCAAACATCAATATCATACTTACAGACATATCCATTAAAGTCAAATACAGATGTCTGCTATTGCCACTGTTATTTAGCATTGTATTGTAGAAGATACAGTTAATGTATTGAAAGAATCATAAATAACAGATGTAACTACTGGAAAGGAGGGACAAAATCAACATTATTCTTAGACAACATAATTGTCTAACGAAGAACAAATGAATCAATGAAAAAACTATTAGACTTAATAGTCTAATAGTTCAGTGAGGTGACTGTTTACAAAATAAATATACAAAAAATGATACTTTCTTGTAAAATAAGATGTAAAACTCCTCTTCATTATAGCAATAAAAAATAAAACTGAGGAATAATTCTTAAAATACTCATTTAAAGAAAACTATAAAGCTTTCTTAGAGACATAAAAATAGTTAGAATAAATGGAGAGGTAAGCCACATTCCCAGCATAGAGATTCAATATTGTAAAGATGTCAAAATTCCCTAAATTAATCTATAAATTGAAAGCAATTCTAATTGAAGCTCAAACAGCATTGTTTTCTAGCTGGATAGTAGAGGGATATTAGATCTTGTAGGATTGTAAATGGACAAGAATAGCTAAGAAAACTTGAAATGGGGGGGGAAGAATAATGGGGAACCAGCACCACCGGATTTTTTAAATGTTATCAAATGGCAATAATTTAATCAGCATATAACTGGTGTAGAGTAGATAAACAAATCAATGGAGCAAAATGAAAGTGCCAAAATTAGATTCTTGTATATACAATAGCTTAATATGTGATAAGATTTGCATTTCCAATCAGTGGAGAAAAAATGGGTTAGTCAGTAAACAGCATTGAGATAACAGGTTAACTTTAGAAAACATAAAAGTTTTACCTCACATTAAACTCTAAAATAAATTCTAGGTTGATTAAGGCATTAAGTGCTTTAAATTAAACTATAAAAGAAGAAAAAGAATATATTCAATTAGTTATATACTATTGAGTGGCTAAGACTTTTTAAATCATAATACCTGAGTCTAAAACCAAAGAGACAAGATACATACTGTAACTGGATGCATTTTAAAACATCTGTATGGTAGAAAAAGAAATGAAATAATGGTATTTGCAGCAACCGTGATAGAATTGGAGACCATTATTCTAAGTGAAGTAACTCAGGAATGGAAACCCAAACATCATATATTCTCACTCATAAGTGGGAGCTAAGCCTTGAGGACACAAAAGAATGATACAATGGACTTGGGGAACTCAGGAGAAAAGGTGCGAGGGGGCTGAGGAATAAAAGACTACACACTGGAGCCAGGCACGCTGGTGCATGCCTTTAATCCCTGCACTTTGGGAGGCCCAGGTGGGTGTCACCGGAGGTCAGGAGGTGGAGACCAGCCTGACCAACATGGAGAAACCCCATCTCTACTAAAAATACAAAATTAGCTGGGTGTGGTGGTGCATGACTGTAATCCCATCTACTCAGGAGGCTAAGGCATGAGAATCTCTTGAACCTGGGAGGTGGAGGTTGCAGTGAGCTCATATTGCACCACTCCCTCCAGCCTGGGTGACAGAGCAAGATTCTGTCTCAAAAAAAAAATGTATAATACATATATATGTATATAAAATTTAATATAAATAAGTCTACCAACCCTTATTCAAAACTCTTGGGGCCAGATATGTTTCAGAAATCAGAATTTTCTGATTTTTAGAAAGGTGATTTTCCATGTATTATGTAACACACTGCAGGTAAGAACATAAATATTCAGGAAGATAGGGATAAATAAAGACTACGCATAGCCTCACGTCTGTTCGGGTCAGCTTTTGTCTCCAAAAGCTGATTTTCCATTTTCAGACCTTTCTGAATTTTGAAATGAAGGTAAGGGATTGTGGATTATGCATGTTAAAGGATTAGAATAAAGATCTCTAGGGAAGGATACTGCTGATTTTCATTTCCTTCTTTATACTCTCCTGTATTTTTTCAAATCTTTTAATGTGAACATATATTATTTAATTAGAAATAAAAAGTCCTAAAAAGGAAGAAATGTGGAAGGACACAAGCCTAATTTTGGAAAGGAATATAAAGCCAGTCAAAATTTTACTAAAGTCTTTCAAATACAAACAATTAAAACGAAGCCCAAACCACCAAAGTTTAATTACACTGTATCAGCTGCAACACTTCCTCCAATGTTCCCTGCAAACATGCTTCTCTGGAGTGTCCCTCTTATGATGTCTTGGCAGTTCTTGCCCCCTACCTCTAAAAACTCAGCCTATTCTGCCTCGTCTCATTGGCCCCTTTCCTTACTTGAGTTGGGAAGATTTCTCACTTTTTCAATGCCAATCAATCTTTTTTTTTCCCCTAGGCCATTCAGAAAAGATATCAAATATTCATTCCTTACATTAAATGAAGAAAGATTACAAATTAATAGCAACTTTCTACCTTAAGAAACTTAGAAGAGCAAACCAAATTCAAAGTAGTCAAAAGAAAGGAAATAATAAATATTTGAGTGAAAAAAGCCAGATAATAGAAAAATAAAGAATCAAGAAGCCAAAAGTATCTTTTTTGAAAAATCAACAAAATTGACAAATATTTAGCTAAACCAACCAAGAATGAAGAAGAGAAAGTGAAGATTACTAAAATCAGCAATGAAAGAGGGATGTAACTATTGACCTCACCAAAATTTAAAAAATCCTAAGGGAATACTGTGAACAATTATGCAAAAAAATTAGATAACCTAGATGAAATGGAAAAAGGATTAGAAAGAGATAACTATTGAAACTGGCTCAAGAAGATGTAGAAATTCTGAATAGAGCCATAAGAAGTATGGATTTTTGATTCAATAATCAAAAAATTCCCACAAAATGAATCTCAGTCCCAGATGGCTTCATTGGTGACTTCCAGCACATTTTTAAAGAATAGCACTAGTTTTTTTCAAGCTTTTCTAAAAAATAAAAGAGGAAGGAACACTTTTTAACTCATTCTGAAACCAGTATTACCATGATACCAAATGCAGGCAAAGACATCACACACACACAAAAAAACTACAGACCATTATCCCTTAGGAACATAGAAGAAAAATCCTCAACAAAATACCATCAAACCAAGCGCAGTACCATATAAAAACATTATACGCTACGACAAAGTGAATAATCCCAGGAGTATAAGATTTGTTAAACATGTGGATATCAATCAATGTAATATACCATATTAGTAGAATAACACACCAAAACCACATGATCATATCATTAGATGCTGTCTTAGTATGTTTGAGCTGCTATAACAAAATACCATAGACTGGGTAGCTTATAAGCCACAGAAATTTATTTCTCAACATTCTGGAGGTTGAGAGTCCAAGATCAAGACCCTGGCAGATTCAGTATCTGATAAGGGCCTGTTTCCTATTTCATAGATGCCTTCTCATTGTGTCTTTACATGGTGGAAGGAACAAGAGGCCTCTCTTGGGCATGTTTTATAAGGTCACTAATCTCACTCCTAATACTGCTTCCTAGTACCATCACCTTGGGATTTAGGTTTCAACATAAGAAGTTTAGGGGAGCATAAACATTTACCCCATTGCAGATGCAAAAAAGAAAAAAAAAGCATTGAAAACATTGATAAACATGCTTAGAAAACTAGGAATAAGAGGAAATTTTCTCAGCCTGATAAAAGGCACCTACAAAAAACTCATAGATAACTTCACACTTAATGGTAAAAGACTGAATGCCTTCTCCCAAAGATCAGGAGAAAGATGAAGATGTCTACTCTCACCACTTGTATTCAGCATTATATTGGAGGTAGTAGATAGGGCAATCAGACCAGACAACGAAATAAAATCATCAATATTGGAAAGAAGAAGTAAATGGTCTCTATGATTGTGACATGAATTTGTACATAAAAAAGTATGTTTACCAAAAAACATTCCTGACCGCCCCCTACCCTCACCTTTCCAGGTTTCTGCTTCATGCATTTCTCTGATCCACAAAACCAAAGGCCAGGCCTGTTTGAACAGCAAATTTTTTTTTCTTAGAAACAATAGAAGGAGTCTATAATCATTCAGAAATTAATTTTTCATTCTAATTCTGCTATAAGATTTATGTTTGATCATAGTGAACTTTCTCCTACGTTACAGAATGTAGAACAATCTCAATGGGGCAAGGACAAGAAGTACATGCTCGGAAGCTGATTCAGATGTCAATGCAGCAGGTATGTGACAAGAAACAACTGCTCCTGCCACAACACAGTAATGGATGCTACCACATTCTTCTCATGATGCTCAATCTTGATTTTCCACTTTTGCTTATCATGACCTGTGAATTTTAAAGCTCAATCTAGTTTCCTCCTGATATTCCCGTGGAAAGCTTATTCCATTTTCTATAGTATATGTTCCATTTTATCTTCACTGATTTTTTGTTTGTTTTATAATTTGGGAGACACACCTTCTGGTCTCTAAGAATGCAGCTCTAGCAGTCTTGGAATTTCATGATCAATATTAATAGGTGGTACTTAAGAAGTGACAGATTGAGGCAGTTAAATCTCCATTTTCAGTTAAAGGCAGACTTTCATTTTTCATTAATGGATAGTTTCATGCAAATAAGAAATATTTAAGGATGTTATGTTTAAATATTGATAATGGTTTTCACTGAAAATTGCAAGCTGAATGGAGTGTTGAGAAATATTTCCCATCACACCGAATAAATACACAGGTCATTAATTTTCTAGAAATGCTCTGTAGATAGCCATTTCAGCTGTAATAAGAAATTATACCATTTATAAAAATAAAATGAGATCTTGGTTTATTTTTAAGCTTTTGATCTCAGAATGTCTGTACAAACTTTGGTGCAGCTTTTCCCTGGGAATTAATGACCAGAGAGGTTAATGGGCTAAAATTCTGCTTGGGTCATCAAATTTTCCAGCTAGTCATTAATTCTCAAATGCCCTAAGCCTTAATCTTTATCACTTAATTAAATTCAATAATTAATTTAATTTAGACATGTATATCTCAAAGCAATTATACATAATTATTTTTACTTGGATCAACTCTTTTACTCTATTGAGTGATTTGACAGTTTAACTTTGGTCCTTAAATTTCTGTAGATTCTGTGACTGTAAAGCTTTTTAATTTAAATACTCTGTTCACATTAACCGTCTTTGGAATACTAGCCTTTATAACTTCCATGCTCTGTTTGTCAAAATGGGGCACATATTGATAATATGGCATAATCAGAAAAGAAAACCAAACATGAGCAGGTGCAGTCACGCTGCTGCCTTAAGGGACACCACGTTTAGGATAAAGCCGGCATTGTGAAATGCAGAGTGAGGAACCAGAAAGCAAGTGGGTCCATGATGACACAGACTAATCTGGAATGCCATCTTCCTCTGAAACCCTGGTTGTATAGACAGCACATCCCCTTTGCTAGTTAAGCCGGTGTAAGTTGTATTTTCTCTTACATTTGATATACAAGTATATACGCTTTGCTATATATTTATCATGCTATTTTGTAGTTTTATGTAGTCCAATATAGCTGATTCTTTTTTTTCTTTTTCTTTTTTTTTTTTTTTTTTTTGAGACAGAGTCTCGCTCTGTCGCCAGGCTGAAGTGCAGTGGTGTGATCTTGGCTCACTGCAACCTCCTCCTCCCGGGTTCATGCAATTCTTCTGCCTCAGCCTCCCGAGTAGCTGGGACTACAGGTGCACGCCACCACGCCCAGCTAATTTTTGTATTTTTAGTAGAGACGGGGTTTCACCATGTTGGCCAGGATGGTCTTGATCTCTTGACCTCGTGATCTGCCCTCCTCGGCCTCCCAAAGTACTGGGATTACAGGACTGAACCACAGCGCCCGCCCAGCTGATTCTTATATAAGGGTATTAAAATGTCTGGGGAAGAAACTATGTTCTCACAGGGCAGTGATGGTTTTGTGACATATTGTTTAAGGTAGTTTTATCAAGTAAGAAAGTGCTTAATAAGTTATGTGGTTTCAGGAATGTGTGAGAGGAGTGATGGTAAAGAATAAAGCTCAGCATTATGGTGGTAAATGTCGCCAAATGTATTGCCTCCAACTTTCATGAGATTATGTGTATCTTTCTTTGTAACTATGAATGACTATGAACCTGTCTTCTTGGTTTTGGGAGTGAGTCAGTTCTAATTTACCTTAGGCAGGGCAACTTAAGTTACTGATTCCAAAATACCTGTTCCCACCATTAGATGGTGCACACACTGTACTTATACACAAGTCTGCCTTCAAGTTTTAATTTCTGTTCCTTTATGAGCCAGGGGTGGCAGAATACAATCATTTTGAACCCACTTGATTCTAAGTAATTAGCTTGTACCAATAGCAGAAGAAATGTCTGTATTGACATATAATTTTAAAAAATGTGTTCAAGAGTATTCACATGGCTTTTAAAATAATTTGTACATTTTGCTTTATTAAAATCATAGCAAAAATGTTATAAGAAATAAATATGAACTCATTTTTGGATACAGGGTGGTTGGGTGTTACTGCAAAATTGCCACCTCGGCCTGGAATTCATGGAGGAGTTGCTAGAGACGCTTATTACCACTGAAGCCAGTGATGATTCTTTCCGAGTATGGATAACTACGGAGCCCCACGATAGATTTCCAATTACATTGCTTCAGGTTTGTTACTAGATGTCTTTTCATTGAGAGTTATAGAAATAAAGATGGCATAATTGACACTGTTGAAAGATGGGAACACAACAGGGCTTTTTGGTCCTGTAGAGTCTGGACTGCAAAATCTTATACTGTAATACTATAACTGTCAAAATCTTGACATCAAAGTTAGACTATAATAAATATTTCCAAGAAGAGCTCTAAGACTCGGTACCAATTTATTGAGTTTCAGCTCTGATCGATGTACTTAGTTTATACAGTGCTGGACTTTGCTCACACTTTATGTACCATAAGCATACTGTTTTCTGAAGTACAGATTGAGCATCCTAAATCTGATCATCGAAACCTGAAATGTTCCAAAATCTGAAACATTCTCAGTGCCAACATAATGCTCAAAGGAAATGCTCATATAATAATTTAATGCTAATATTCCAAAATCTGAAAAAAATCTGAAATCCAAAACACTTCTAGTCTCAAGCATTTCAGATAAAAGATACTCAGCCTAATATTGCGATTTCTATTTTATTCTTTATAGTAACTTACAGAAACAAAACAACCATTTTCTTTTCATGACAGACTTCTCTCAAATTCACTAATGAGCCACCCCAAGGTGTACGTGCAGGTTTGAAAAGGACATTTGCTGGAATTAATCAAGACCTTCTGGACATCAGCAATTTACCCATGTGGAAGCCGATGCTTTACACAGTAGCATTTTTACACTCCACTGTGCAGGTAACTATGAAAAGCAGTTTTCACAGTCAGGGGATGGCTGATGATGTGCTGTGGTCTCATTGGAGAGGCCTTCCAGGAAGCTGCTATCCATTGCCACTCTCTCTCCTTACTGTGTTTTCCCTCATAGCTCTTTCCCCACCTGGCATGGTGTATATGTGTTTATTTATTTTGTGTGTGCCCCCTGCCCCAACCCCCAACCCTGACTATTGGAATGTAAAATTCTCCAGGGTGAAGACTGTCTTTTTTTGTAACTGCTGACTCTCCCACTGTCACAACCGCACACAGGGGATTGTCAGAGCCCAATAAATATTTGTAGAATGAGCAAATGGATTATAAAGATAGGAGCTTGGTTTTGAAAGTGCCTGTGCTGGCCAAGAATTTTATGTGAACCATCTCCTGTAACACTAACAACCACATTTCAAGATAGGATTATCACCATCTCAAAGATGTTGAGTGCTCTTTAAATGTGGTTGAGTAGGAGTGGCTGAACTAGGGTTGGCTGGCTCTGACTTATGTATGTTGTGACTCTGTATTACCTGATAGTAAAAGTGGTGGTGATGTCGGAGGAGGAGAATGAACAGCAGCTCCTTGTCTTTCTTATGTCATTTGCTGTTTGCTTTTACAGTCTTAGTACTGATGTGGTAATTTAATAATTTTAAGGTTACCAAGCAACTTGTCTGTTATGATTTTTAAAATTATTGTTAGTGTTTTGTTCTGCATCTGAATTTTATATTTTGTTCTGCAATTCAAAAACTATATACTTTCAATGCACTTGATTTATTCCTTTATTTCACAGAGAATTGAAGAGATTCCTTCAACCCCTTCCTGAATTTCTTTCTTCCATGAGGCTGGGATGAAGGACAAAATAAATCAGTTGGCATATCCCAGGAGTCATGCTTTTAGCTGTGCACAGTGATGTGCAGGACTTCACGTTACCTCTCCCTGGCCTATCCAAAGATGGAGGGGAACTTATTGCTCACCTGAGAAAATACTGTGTGCATTTACCCCTGATTCATGATCCTTACCACTTTACTAGGTTCCTGGCTACCCAACAGAGAGGCCTGTGGTGTTTGTCTCCTAACCCTGAAAGAGTTAAAATCCAATTAAATGCTTTGCTGGTGGTTATCTTTACTAAGTTCCATTGTGGCCTTTGGATTGTCAATTACAGCTTTCAAGTCACTGGAGCCTATTTCATGCGTTCTTATCTGGGAACTGTTCACTTTGCTAGACCTTATCACACTGTAATGCAAATATTGCTTTAACTCTGTTATTTCATTCCCAATTTTATGATTCTGTTCCCAGTCGTGATGATTCAACTCTTCCACTATGCTTATCTTGGAGAGCTGGTTGGGGTATTTTCCATAGGGTTAATGTGGTGCCCTGTGTTTTTAGTGGCCATTATCCAAGTGCTAAAGGGAAGAAGAGCAACAGGACCATGGTCCAGTCATGGGGCTAAAGTGCCCTTGCACTTAACACCACATGTGTTTCGGTTAAAATGGAGAAAAGATATTTTCACCACTAGAGTGGTAAAGTTGCTAGTGGAGTGTCCAAGAATAAAAGTCTGAATGTTTCTCAAAATCAAATAATAGAGGGCTAGAAATAACACTTCACTGAGAGTCAGGAGGCCTGGACTTTCATGCTTGCTATGAAATCAGTTAGCTGGAATCAGTTGATCAAGTGACATCTCTCTCAGGTCCTCTGTTTTCCCATCTGCGCAGTTAGAGGCAGAAGTAGGTGAGCTTTGAAGGTTTTTTCAGTTTCTACAATTCTGTCATCCAGTTCTGTGATAATACATTGAGTCTAGGTAATTCTTTTTCATCAGTTTCAGAAATGTTTACTGTGATATTTCCAAAATCTCCCAGGAATTTTAGACTGTGTTTCAGAAATTTCACAGAAATGTTTGCTGTGATTTTGCCTAAATACGTTTTTTTTCCTTGGTTAGGATAGGGCCAGCTTGATAGACAAATCCAAAATTCTTTAGAGACTTGCTGTCTTGGGTCAGAAGCATTAACATCACTTGGTACCTTGTTGGAGGTGGATCTCAGCTCCCACCTCAGACTCTCCTGATCAGTCTGCATTGCTCCAAGACATCTATGTGATTTGTGTGCACCTGAACATCTGAGACTCAACTGCTACAGAAAGGAATGTTGTGGATTAGGTAGTTTGTGACTTAACGTTTCTTTGTCTTTCTAGTGATGAGTATAAGAGCCAAACATCTGATCTGTTAATTAATTAATTGAGTCCTCCAAATTAAAGCAGGTATCCCTGTTTTAGACAAACATGTTATATGTACTTTTGTTCTTGCAGAGATTGAAAAAAGAAGTAGGCACAGACTCTGAAGCTCCAGAAGGGTTCATGCTGGAGTTCATTCCACATGACAATGCAGAACCCAGTAGTGAAACAGCCAACTCCCTGTCTGCTCTCCAGTAAAAAATGTAATTTCTCCCATTGAATCCTGGTTTGGGTGGCATTATGCCATCAGCTTACCCAGATTGATAGGCATGATATGTGGATTCTACTTCTGTTGTAGGGAACAAAATGAGCACCTCTCCTTTCCTGGGAGAAGGGGAAGTAGATTTGGCTGGTCAAGGTTAACTTGGGCAGAAGAGTGGTGGAGAAGGGCGTGGTTTGCTTTATTCTTGAGGTGGGAGCAGGCTATCCCAGGAGGAGGGTGCCCTGGGTGCTACCATGGGAACATGCATAGATGCACAAGGCAACTCTGCACTAAGCTCTGCTCCCCCTACACTCGCCCTCTCCTCCAGCAACTTACTATCCACATAGGGCACTGGCAGCTACCCTGAGAGGGGAAGTTTCTGCTGAAGCTCCCACCCCTGCTGCAGTCCAGTGATGTCTCTGCTTTTGCCAGTGGCCCTTCTGCCCTCCCCATGGGAGCCTTTTACTCCAAGGACCCTGGTGTGTGCCTGGGCTCAGTTTGGCTGCCACTCCCTGAGAACGGTTCAGCATCCTTTTGAAGATTACCTAGGAGGGAAGCTTCTCTCTGGCCTCAGTGTTCTGTCTCTACACTTTCCTGGGCACTTCAATATAGCATTGTTCTAGATTTCAGAGCAAGCCCACATTCACCCTTTGGGATTTTTTTATTGTTTTAGCACATTCTCCTCCAAAATCTTGGTCTTTTGAAACTCAATCATTAAATTTTTAGCCACCTCCTAACAGCTCCTGCAGAAGATCAGGATAACATTCTATGGGCTATTTTTTTCCTATTGATTGTCAATGTGGCACTCTTTGAGATGTGCATTGGACCAAGTAAATGTCTTAATCAATGGTCCTCTCAGCCAATGCCTGGGCCCCAGGACATGACACTTCAGTCAGAATCCCTGGAAGGCCAAAAAGAAGGAGCTCAGGCTTTTTAAAAACTTCCAAGTGATCTTAATGTGTAGCAAGAATTGAAAATGGTGGCCAAACGGCCACAACCCTTAAGGGAAGAGTCTTAAATCATTTTTACATCCATTCCATAGTCTGGAGGTTTTTCTCCCTGTCACCTTTGTTTGTCCATATTGAACTGTGTCTATCTTTCTGACTTTTCAAAGAGTGTATATGTAACTCTGTGAGGTAAGGCATTCTTTTGTTTTTCATTTTCCTTTTATAACTAAATTTATTGATTAGGCTCTCTAAGGGCGTGTAGTGGCAGTTGCAAACTTGGTAATTTTATCATGGCTCTTAAAAATTATTTAGATATTAAATAAAAGGGGCCCTATCAACAGGGCCCAAGGAATCTCACTATTAGCAGTTATTCAGTCAGAAAAGTGTTAATTCCCCTACATTTTGTTTTGTTTCTCAAGTTTCAGCCTTGATAAGCATTCCTTTCAAATTTATCAGTGTATATAAAGTTCTTGCTTTGGGGAGACATGATTGTAAAATTCCCCATTTAAATGTCTTTGAATAATTATTATAATATGATACAGGTTTATCTTTTACACTCTGCCCATAGTGTTTCCCAGAGATTCTGGCTGTTTCTGTTAACTTTTTTACCTAGAAAAGTTTCCCTTATGTTGTCTAGCGAGGCTTGTTTTTCATTATATATTAGCTCCAGTTATTGGTGTTAGTTAACTCCAGTTGTCTTGTTTTGAAGATATGAAATGATTCTGCAGGTCTTTAAGAACTGCTAAGGTAGACCTTACCATAAAATTGGAAATGGCTCTGACATCATTAAAATGATGACTCCATTGAACAACTTTTCATCAGTGTTCTAGGGACTTTTTCATGTTTCCAAGTTTTCCATATTTCTCTAGTAGTTCAGAGTTTTGTATATTTTGTGAAATAAAAATAAGAAACTGTATTAGTCAAATTAAGTGAGGAGTGGACTGGTTTTGCTAAAATCATCACTCACCAGCTTAATGATGTATAGTAACTCCCTTCTGTCGAATGATGTTTTAATACTCAAATCTGTCTGCACTCCATGCCTTGAAGCATGTGAACACTTAGTTGCTGCTACTCACTGGAGTTAGTCCTCTACTGCAGTAGAACCTTCTGTCTGCAGCCTTCGCCACGAGTCACAGGCTTTGTGTTCCTAGTTTTGCTCATGGCCTTTGCCAAGCCTGGAAGTCTCTTCTCTCTGTTTGCAAAGATCAGCTTCAGTTTCGTTCTTCCCAGAAGCCTCTGATTGAACATCTCCTTCAGGCTTATCATCTATTGAATTTTTACAGTTAATTATATTCACTATCACATTGTTCTTTTCTTGTCTCTAAGTCTTATTTTTGCAACATATTAAAACTTCTTGAAAATGCATCCTTTTTAATATTTTTTATTGTATTGCATAGGACTCACCCCATGGTTTCAAAAATGTTAAGTTGAAGAAGTTCAATTTTCCAAATAAGTCTAGCAAAACCCCTTGCTTTGGTCTTCCAAATGAGTTCTTAGGTTCTAACTGTTTGAGTCTATCCTGGTAGTATTCCAAGGTGATTAAAAAAATATATCAAGAAGATGAAATGACTTTACTTGTGAAAGAAAAGGCACCTACTAAGATTTTGGGCTTTTCTTTT